GTTTCCCCTGAAGGATCTTCCGTCGCTTTTGCCTTCTCCCTACATCTTCCCTCTGTTAAAATCCCCCCCACACACACACACTTATTTTCGGGCGGATAGATTTCGTGTCTGAGCATTCTCACATGACGGTGGGTCTTTCCCCCCCCCCCTAAAAACAGTTAAAAAAAGAAAAAATATATCCTCATGCAAGAACTTTTCTGCTTCCGATTACCCCCATGCTTAAAAGTTGCAAAGGAAACACGGAAGCAGGGAAGCGCCTGCCCAGCTCCGGAGCTCCACACCATTTTTTTTTCAGAGGGGAATCTGACTCGAGTATAAGCCGAGGGGGATTTTTTCAGCACAAAAAATGGGCTGAAAAACTCGACTTATACTCGAGTATATACGGTATATTTAATAACTATTTTGAAGTATCTTCACAAAGTTGTATTTCCCATGGTCCTTTAAAATAAGTCATGTTTGGACAATATACATAATCATTTATTTTGCATATCAGAACATATGAAGAGAGCACCTATGTTTTCCCCCAACAAATATTTGTGTGCAAAACAATTGATGTGAGGAGAAAATTTCATAGCCAACATGATTTGTTTCAATTGAGACAGCATAGTTTAAGATATAAGTTGTGCATGATTTGTTCCATAGAAAAGATATATGTGTGGGGAAAAATGATTGATTTTAGCCAAGAATCAAATATGTACTGATCATTATGCTGGTCTTTGACTTTAATTACTATTTGATTTGATGTAGGGAACCATTTCAGAAGATTTTAATTTGTTAGCTTTCGGAATAGTTTCCTATAAAAAAATCTTAAATATTACATGAACTGAAATAACCATACAGAATATACACCCTATATTGAATTGCATTTGTATAAGGAGTAAGGAAAAAAAATCATTCAATACTAGAAATAAACAATTAAAACTTGTTTTCTAATATTTAATTATCTTATACTCAAATTATCTTATACTTATATTCTACTCAAAATGGTCTTAAATACTTATAATGTACAATCATGTTAAAATAATTTCATATTAGGCCATCAGGCTTTTAAATAAATATTCTATTTGATTGTTAACATTATTTTGAAAAGCAAGAATACTATTTATTAGATAAGAAAATTACCTAGAGTTTGGATTGCCAGGTTACAAAGCCAGAACCAGGTGGGATTTGGATATTAATAAAAATAATATATCTATCTGAAAAGATACACACAAACACAACATACACACACATACACATCTCTAAGATAGTCATTTATGGGATCATTGAACCTACCTTCAACACCAACTTTGAACTCATGCTTTGTTTCTCCTAAATCATTTGAGGCTACACATTCATAAGTTCCTTCATCATCTCTAGTAACTTGTTCTATCTTCAAAACTTTTCCAAAATTTTCAGTGACTCCTCTGAAAATACTGCCTCTGTTAATCCTCCTCCATGTTAAATGGGGTGTTGGACTAGATTGAATTAAAAAAAAAGAAAGAAAATATTTATGTTATAAAGTACCATGGTTCTTTATCTGCCAGTCAACAGTTCTATCTTATGTAGATTCCAACTAATGCTCATATAGACTAATATTGCTTAAGATGAATGACCATATAGATCTTTCCATTAAGGAAATAAATGTTATGTTTAATATATCACAGTAAGCTGTGGTTTGTTGAATATATTTCTTAAAAGCTGCAATGGTTTTGGAGACCAATAAAATAATTGCTTGTTTTACAAATGCTCTGATTTCTACCTTATTTTATTTTTTCTTGTCTTGTGCATAAAAGAACTGGACATGAAATGAAGCTTAAACACTGATTAGGAATTACCCAGGAAAACACAACTAAAGTCTGCTTGTTTCCCCATATCTCTCTTATTCCACATTTGCCATCTGTTAGCTAACAACTAATCATTATTTTAAATTTGCATTGCAGAGAATCTCTTTCTCTGCTGTGTATGGTATTTACACAAGGATTTGGATTTTAAAAAGAATTTTTCTCTGACTTTGGAAAAGGATAGTAAAAGGCAAAAAAGCTGAATATTGGGAGTCAAGAAATATATTTTATGAAAACAGAGTTATCTGTGAAGAAGTTGGTATTGAATCTACACATGTTATAGAGAGTAACCTTAGCAATATGCTAAGGTTTTGCTGATTCCATAATAAACACAGTTCATCTCTTGTATCATGAAGAGCATGAGGTATCAGAAATAAACTGAATTTGTGTGCAACAACATCCGCATTTAGTCATTCAAAGATTTGGATTCTGCTAGCTTATTAACAGAAAATGTGAGCATTACTGCACTGCAAACCATAGAGCTGAGGGCTACATAGTCTGTTGTTTAATTCTGCACTGTCAGACTATAGATTTGAGGACCACAGAGCTAATTGCAACATTTTTTAAGCAAACTACTACACCCTCTTGGGTTTAGTTGAGTAATGACAGGTTTTTTTAAAGAATAATCTTAGGCCACCACCAGAATTGAAGTGTATTGGAAATGCAGAAAGTTACTGGTGATGCCTTCAACAATCGTATAATTGCTTGACAAATAAATAAATAAACAAACAAAAATTTCCACTGTACTTAAGACAAAATGGATGCCACAAAGAAAAGGACAAGCAGAGAATTATTCTAAAATGTGAAGCCTCTTTTCTTTTCTTCATGGATTAAGATAAAACTGAGGGAAATGTTCTCTTGAGAACAGACAAGACAGGTCTGTGAGGAAGATGTTTTATAAATGGATAAACAAAAAAAACACAAAAAAAACAAATAGTATATAGAATGTACTTGACTCTTTCCCGCTTGGTTTTCCTTTTCCTTTTATTTGCAAATTCTGCTTAAGTTAAAGAATCAAGCTCCACAAATTATCTGAGATGCCATTTTTCCCCCAATATGCCTTTTAGCAATCTTTTTATTGCTCTACATTCATTTTTAAATCTTCTCTCATCTCCCTTCCCCTTTAGCTAAAGCAGGTCTCCCAGCAAAATGTAGTTCCTATTTTCCATGATCTCAGGAACAGCAAAGCCTAAGATACCAAATATGCAGTTACAGTTAATTGGAGGCTTCATTTAATTTCTACTGTAGTCTTCATTTTGTATTTTGAATAGAATTACTAATTTTGCCCAGCTAAATAATTAAAATCTGTTGTCATTGCTCTCCTCTGAGGAAATAGCTGAAACACTTGGATTCTTTATGTATATTAAGAGAAAAAAAATGGAAGAAACTGTTGTATATGTAGTAACTGGGTTCAGTTCAGTAAAATTGACCAATGTTTAAAGATCCCTTTATGAATATGTCTTTGAATTCTGAATCATGCTGGTAGCATAATGATAACATATTTGCTATTCTAAGCAAACTGACTCAGTTTGGCTATCACACTAAGTATACCACCAGCCATATAATCATGTGCCTATTTTCTTGCAAAAACCTATGGGATTTGTATTTTTTGGAAGCTGTATTGCCTTTTCTCCAAAGTAAGTAAAATATATATACAACAGTATCTAATTGCTACTATAGATTAAAAATAGTCTGGAATGCCATTGAGAAGTTGAGCTTATTTCATCTAGCCCAAAATGGCTTTATAATCATAAATGGGGTTAAAGATTTTGCTGCAAGGGCAATAATCAATTGTCTTCCTAGACAGCACAAATTCTCCAGACAATTAAATATAAAAAGAACTTTGAGTTTTGCAGAATTACTGTGAACTCTCATAACAAGAAAGAGAGATGTTCAGGTCAGGCTGCTAACTTAGCATTTCCAGCTGGCCTTGCTATTGCCAACACTGTGCGTGGCATAAACAGAGCAAAATCATGTCAGCTTATTCTTGTGTCCATCTGCTGGGATGGCAGAATGCCAAGGGTCAGGTTACTATTAGTTCCAAGTATATAAAAATATAATATGGCAGACAAAGCCCAAATATTTATAATATATTTCTGTAACTTTAGGTATCTATTTTTTTAAAAAAAATCAATTACTTTTGCTTCTTTGTTGTAATTACAGATAGCTCTCAACCACAACTGAGATCAAAATTTCTGTTGCTAAGTGAGACTTTGCTTGTCAGAAGATTGCAAAAGTTAATCTTGCCAACCAGCTGAATTTTGATCACCTGATCATAGGGATGCTTCAATGGCCATACCTCACTTTCCTCAGTGCTGTTGTAATTTTGAACAGTCAGAGATTTGTTATAAGCTGAGGAGTATCTGTATTATTGCTTTTTTTCTGCTTTGCTATTATTTTTCAAAGTCAGTTCTAAAATACAAATACTCACAGTCCTTCAGCAATGCATTCCAGAAAAAGATCCATTCCTTTCATAAACGTCACTTCTGAACTGGGACCAGAAGATTCAGGAATAAGTAGCTTGGGTTTTCTTTCTTTGATTAAATTTGCTAAAAGGGAGAAAAGTAATTTCAGAACTCTTGAAATAAGATAGATTCCACTCTTCTTTATTCTATCAGTTATGGTCAGTAAAAATATCAGTGCTAATTCATTCACATATGTTCTACATATTATAATGGAATATTCTTTCCTGCTACGTCAATTTTTTTCCATCTGCTTTAGAATATACTTCTAAAATTTGCAAGCAAACAACTATACAATAGAATGTGGTACATTAATTGTAATTTGTGGATAACATGTATGAGTGGCAACACATTCTTGACATTGTAGGAATAGTACAATTAGAATTAATTGTAAAATTTGTGGGTTCCAAGTTACAAAGTACTAGCTTCGAAAATGAGAGAAAATGGCAACATCTTAAATGGACTCCTATGATAGGGAAGTTAGAAGGAGAAAGAAATATTGGATGATTTCAGGGTTTGGAGATAGTGGAGAAGAAAGGCTTTCCTCTTCCTGAGACTCTACCGCTCAGTGTCATCTGGCCCACTAAAGATTAAGATAGAACCTTTAGAAAAAGAAAAGTTATATTCTTCATCTTTCCAATTAGCTAACTTACTTAAGTTCCACTTAAATTGTTTTCTCCTATGAATATGGAACATGGAAAGCAGGGAGAGGTTGGGAAAATTCAAAATGTCTTTTGGGTTCAGCTTCTTATTAGAGATTTTGGAGGAAATCTATGTGGTCATTAGAAATTCAAAACAACTTGGCGAAAGGTGGGCTAAATGGGGAATCTGGGTAGCTTGGACTAGATCCAAAAGATGGAGTTTTCTATTTCTGTTTTATTGGGTAATCATAACAAATTACTGTTTTCATTTATTTGGAGATAATCTCTCTCTCTCTCTCTCTCTCTCTCTCTCTCTCTCTCTCTCTCTCTCTCTCTCTCTCTCTCTCTCTCTCTCCCTCTCTCTCTCTTTCTCTCTCCCTCTCTCTCTCTCTCTCACACACACATCCTGTCATTTGCATGTCTCTGTGTAAAATGCAATATATTTTAAGTAGGATATTTTATTCATTTTAATGTGAACTGAGGCATGAAATGTTAAACAGTAACAACTTACCCTTAGCCGCATTAGATGATCTGGAATCATTAGTATATTTTACTGCAACAGACAGAAATGGAGACCAAATGGAAACATGAATGGTGATGAAATTTATCAAATAAATGATGGATATAATCAGACTGAGTAAAGAATCCAGTTTATGCTGACATAGGCCCATTTGCAAGGTGAACTTCATTTGTTCTATCCATGTCTCATGAAACTGAAATTGTTAAAATTATCCTCCTCTGTAAAAATGGGATGGGGAGGAATGCTATTTGAATACAACTAGATTATTCTGCAGATCTCCTGGACTGAAATCATGTTATTCCCACCTAAAACAAATTCCATAATTGCTGAAGATGCAATGCAAGCATGCATAGTGATAATGAACACAAGTACAAATGACGTAAATACCAAAAGATCTCATATTTGGCTAATATTTTAAAATGCTCTTCCATCATGGCCCTTTCCACCAATCCTTCAGCAGGCAGAAGATTGTATTGATCAATCAATCAATATTTAAAGACTTCCACTCTCAGAAGACTCTTGTGAAACCAAACCAAAACACAACCATCATCACCAAAATTCACAAATTCAACATATACATCTCACAACCAGTTAACTGGAGCTTCACTTTTTGCTGCTGCTCCCCTACTTATCACTACTTACATTGTCATAGACAATGGGCAATATGCAAGCCTGAATGCTATTACTATTATTAGGTGGGTTCCTTTGGCCCATGCAAGATAAACAGTTCTACAAGCTTGTGATGAACCTTCAGTCTATAGCCATCCATCACATCTCATCTCACTTCTCCACTTCCAATCCATTTTAAGGAGACAAAGTAGTAGATGTTTCTCCAGGATCCACTGTTGTTTGAAGGGAGGGAAGGAAAACAAAGCCAGGGGAATTCCCCAATCTCCTTCTATAACATGCCTTGCACTCAGTACATAAGGATACTATCATTTGGCAGCAGTTTGCTTATGACACCATGGGAATTAGTAGTGGGACAGCAAAAATCGAAGCTCCAGTTAATTAATGAGATGCTAATGTTAAATTTGTTTTGCTTTTGGTGATGATGCTTTTATTGTGATATGGTTTCATGCTGCCATAGTTTATTTTCTTTCTAATAACATAACTATTTTGTTTTGAAGAGCCGTGGTGATGCAGTGGTTGAAATGCAGTATTGCAGGCTAATTCTGCTGACTACCAGCAGTTCGATTCTCACTGGCTCCAGGTTGACTCAGCCTTCTATCCTTCCAAACTTGGTAAAATGAGGACCAAAATTGTTGGGGGCAATATGCTGTCTCTTTAAATTGCTTAGAGATTTAAAAAAATAAAAATAAAATAAACTGCTTAGAGAGGGCTCTAAAGCACTATGAAGCATGATATAAATCTAAGTGCTATTGCTACGTGCTATTGCTACGTGGATTTTTTTGTATTAGTTTTTATCATGTATGTGAATCTCTCAGTACTTTTTCCATTGCAGTAACATACAGATGTGTTAAACAAACTATGTCTCCTTATTTTTTAGATTTTTTTTCCAATTGCAATAGGTAGAAGAAACAAGACTGACAATGATAAAATAATGTAAATTTTATCCTGAATTATAATAAAATGAAAAAGATTATTTCTGACTTAGGTGAATTGTTCTGTGGGGAAAATGAATTTTATTCTGCATTAAAAATAATTACTAAGGAAATAATTTAATCCTATCTTTTTTGAGATAAGTGGAGAACCTATTTATTTTCACATTGTGGCTTAGTCTTTTCAATATTTTATGTATATGTCAACATTTTGTACAACCCTATAAATGATTATTAAAATGAAAACCCCATTTAGTTGAGCTGGACTAAATCTAAACATGCATGGATAGCAGCAACTAAAAAAACAACAACTAGAAATAATAAGTTTAAGCTTCTTCTGTTTAGTTAGAAATTGTTTCATGTCAAAAAATCTTACCCCCATCATATTGTTCAAATATGGTTATACAACATTTATATAACATTTTCTCAGTTGTGACCAAGTTCATGTGTTGCTTTGGCAATAAATAAGACATTGAAAGACGTAGTGAGGCAGTATATTAAGAACATTTGTGGATTATATGGGTCAACTGTCATGAACCACCTAAGAAAGTAGCTGGTATCGTAGTAATATTAAAACTACCACCCAAGGCAATCTTATGTTGCTACAGAATCCAATTTGGCAAGACACCAGACATAATCAAAGTATTTTTCAGCAACATAAAGCATATTCTGACAGTTTTTAGGTCACATGTAGTAGCTCCTAGCTAAACTTCACTGAGCTCATAGAAGATAAGCAGAGAAACTTGGTTAGTACTCAGATGATATATCATCAGGAAATCCCAGAGTTATGGACTAGACTAGGAAATAAAAAAAAAGAAGTGAAAAAAAATCCCAGAAGGTAACAACAAAGTAATTCCTGTATATCATCAGGAAATCCCAGAGTTATGGACTAGACTAGGAAATAAAAGGAGCTGTGGTGGCACAATGTTTAGAATGCAGTATTGCAGGCTAATTCTGCCAACTGCCAGGAGTTCGATCCTGACCTGCTCAAGGTTGACTCAGCCTTCCATCCCTCCAAGGTGGGTAAAATGAGGACCCAGATTGTTGGGGGCAATAGGCTGACTCTGTAAACTTCTTAGAGAGAGCTGTAAAGCACTACGGTATGCAAGTCTATATACTACCACTAATTGAACAAACAACAACAACAACCAGGGGAGATTCAGTGATCACCAAGATTTGACTTTACTTTAACAATTCTCCCAAGGTGATTAGTCAAATGAGAAATCATTCAGAAAGGAACTTAGGTCCCTATTTGTCCTGTAATAATTACATAAGGAGGAGGAGACCAATCAATTTATATGTTAGAATCAAGAAGAAAAAAGAAAGAAGGTGCAAATGAAGTCCCTCAAATTTGCTAGTGGCCCTCAGTAGCTACATCCCTGCAAATCATTCTGTCTTCTCATTTTGGTGGGATTTTTTTTCCACTCAAGAGAAAATAAAATTGTTATAAAATAAAATTGACCTTGTTGATGATCCAAACTCTGTCAAGGATCTTGGAGTACTCATCTCAAGTGACCTAAATGCTAGAGCCCACTGTAACTACATAGCCAAAAAGGCATTAAGAGTTGTTAACCTAATCTTACGTAGCTTTTTCTCTGGTAATATTACACTAATAACTAGAGCATACAAAAGATTTGCTAGACCAATACTTGAATACAGCTCATCAGTCTGGAACCCACATTACGTATCTGATATTAACACAGTTGAGAAAGTCTAGAAATATTTCAGAAGAAGAGTTCTCCACTCCTCTACTCGTTGTAGAATACCTTATACCACCAGACTTGAAATTCTAGACCTAGAAAACCTAGAACTTCGTCACCTTCAGTCCAATCTAAGTATAGTATATAAAATCATACATTGCAATGTCCCACCTGTCAATGAATAGTTCAGCTTCAACCATAACAACACCAGAGCAAACAATAGATACAAACTCAAGGTTAATCACACCAAACTTGATTGCAGGAAATACGACTTCAGCAACAGAGTGATCAATGTCTGGAATACTCTACCTGACTCTGTGGGTTTTTCCCCCCAAACACTTTAACCTATTGACCTCACCCTTTTCCTAAGAGGTCTATAGGGGGTGTGCTTAAGTGCACCAATGTGCCTACCATCCCTGTCCTATTGTTTCTTTTATATTTTTTTAATTTTTCTTATATGTACCCATGTATTCATAACTATGTTTTTTTACTTATACCTATTATCTTGTAAGCAATTGACAAATAAAAATAAATAAATAAAATAAATAAATAAAAATATATTGCTGACAAGTGCCTCCAATAAATATACCCTGTGCTAGTTCAACAAGAAAGCACCCATTATTCTCAATTTCCATTTATATTAAAGGGAAATTATCATTTGGTGGCTCTGAAAAGAATTTGATTTCCATCCCAGTCAGGGTTAGATTTTTATAGTTTTGAGGTTCAGAACAAAACAAGAGAAATGTTTTGGCAAGCTAGCAGCTGCAGCAGTTTTATGAGTTGGGTCTAGCTGTCATCACTAAGACAGCAGTGTGGTATTGAATACATTTGCATATATTTCTTCAGCAAAAATGATGATTTAAAAAAAAAACATGTCACATGTAAGAATTACCAAAAGAACCAAAGGTTGGAAGCAGACATTAAGGCAGATGGAAGATAGAAGAAGGAAAGAAGAAAAAAAAGAAGAGAACAATTTCCATACTTACAACGTGTAACTGTCAATGTCATTGGCATTTTCTGTACAATAGTTCTTAGTTTTGGAAATGCAGCAAAGCAGCAATAATCACTACGGCTGTCATTTTCATCCACATTTGCGAAGTAAAGATCCCCATTAAGGCCCATGGAGACCCTTTCATCTTGTGGGATATGCTGCAAATCTGAAAAAGAAAAAAATGGTAATGGTTCAGTATCTGATCCTTGATCCCAGGTAAGGAAAAAGCTCTTGGATATTAATAATACATGTGACTTGAAATAATATAAAGGATATTTGCTAGTCTTCCACTATGCTATCTAGGGAAAAATCACCAGTAGAACAAACTGCCTGGATACTCTCTTCCCAACCATGAAATATATATTGCATATGTATTGCAATTTTGATATTGCATACATTGTTCTGTGACAGAATGCAATTTTTTTTTGCAAAACAATGCACCATTTTCATTGTATATTTGTTAAAGAGTTATTCAAGCCAGGCCTGTACTCTACATATCATGGCTGTCAAGAAGCCACTTATCTTGTCACTTAGAATAGGCTTGGATGGCACATAATACAAAAGCATAATGTCTATCCCATATATATGGCTGTGGCCTGGCTCCTCCTGACAGACACAGATTTCAAATAATAATTAGGACTGCAGAAAAAACAATTACTACCAACCTGCCTTAAATCAAGGACCTGTATACTGCACAAGTCAAAAAGAGAGCTGTGAAAATATTTACAAACCCCTTACATCCTAGACATAAGCTGTTTCAACTCCTACCCTCAAAATGACAGTATAGAGCACTGCACATCAGAACAACTAGACACAAGGACAGTTTTTTCCCCGAACGCCATCACTCGGCTAAATAAATAATTCTCTCAACACTGTTAAATTATTAAATAAGTCTGCATTACTGTTACTATTAATCCTCCCATCCTTCCTTTCACCCATCTCCTCCCACTTATTACTGTATAACTGTAACTTTGTCGCTTGAATCCTTATGATTTTTTATTGACTGTTTCCTAGTATGATTTAATTGCTTATTGTACCCTATGACTATTATTAAGTGTTGAACCTTATGATTCTTGATGAATGTATCTTTTATGTACATTGAGAGCATTTGCTCCAAGACAAATTCCTTCCTTCCAAGACAAATTCCAACCACACTTGGCCAATAAAGAATTCTATTCTATTCTGTTCTGTTCTGTTCTGTTCTGTTCTGTTCTGTTCTGTTCTGTTCT